GACCTGCGCGGGCGGCGGCCAGAGGGCAGCCCCCCACCGCGGGCTGAGGCGACTCCTCCCCGCCCGCGTTAACCACGGCAACAGCGCACGCACCGCCGCCCCGGCAACTCTCGCGAGACCGAGCGTGACGAGGCTGGCCGCGCGCCGCGCCAGGCGCCATTTCAGAAAGAGTTTGGGGTGCGCGGCGGTGCCTGCGCCCAGGGAGGCGGGCGCCCTTCCGCCCCGCCCCGCTCGGCGGAACGGGCTCTCCTCCTCCAAACCTGAAGGAGGGCGAGACAAAAACAGGCGGCCAGCTACTGCTTTTTTTTCCAGTCAACAACAGGTTCTGACAGAGGCTGCCAACCGCAGACCAGTGGTCATCTAAGTCATCTTTTGAGCCAACGCTGTTGCATTAGGAGAATCCTGCTGTCACCTGTGGATCAAACATGGTCATACTCCCTTGCAGAAATAGCAGTTACAGAAGACCAAGTCTAACAGGTAGAGCCCCTGTGTCAGTCACACACAAGATTGTTAACACTATTCCTAACACCATGCAAAGGTCTCCTTCGGTACTAATTTTCATTATTACCGTCCTTTGTGTGCACATGATGTTAATTTAGGATTAAAAACGAGCAAAACTCTTCCTGAAGAGTGAAAACGGGGAGTCATTCTAATTAAATTGGTCTTAATAATCACAAAGCACACAAAGTCTTGTTTTCTCAGTAGCCTATTGAATCAATGACTATAGCCAATGTAGTGGATGCCTCAAAACTGCATATACTGTCTTGAGACTGAGGATTAAAAGAGCTGTAATATCTTGAATTTTGATGTTAATATTGTGGGTTACACATCAGGAACAGAAAAAAGCTGACTGCAGAAACAGAAAATCAGTGACTTTCTTTGGGTATTGGGGTGTGTCAGTAGCAACACTAACTTATTTTGATGGTTTCCCGAATTTGAATTTTTACTTTATCAGGAATACTTTGCTTGTGAACCTTGCTCAATTTACATGTATTGTATTATCCATAAGATTTAAAAAAAAAATAATAATACTGTGAATGAAATGTTCTTTACAAACACAAATTTAAATTGAAGTGTCTTAAGAAGGGTTTGTATTAAGTTAAATAATTACTTGAACAATTCTTTTTTGGACTGTTGCAAATTTATACAGTCAAGTATATCTTTTGCAAAACTGTGTACAAGTTGGTACATGCAAAATAGACAAGTATTAGACACGTTACCAAAGCCAAACCTCAAAGATTAGGAATCAGGTTAACCTAAGTGCAAAAGATCACAGACATTATGCTGCAATCTTTAAGAATGCAGTCACACAGCCTCATATCTCATTCAATTCACAGATTCATTTTAACATCTTTTTGAAGGCCCATGCCTTGTTTACTGTAATTATTCAGCACACTTTGAAGTCAGAAAACACTGAATCACAAAGAAAAGTTATCAGTTCTCCATCTCTTAGTCTTTAAGACTGCAAGTCTCTCTTGATTTGTATTCTTTAGATTTGTAGCTCCTGGCCTTCTCTGCAAGGCAGAACAGTTTCTTCAATGGCAGATGCTGGTTTTATGATATGCCTTTCTGTATGTACAACTGACTGCGTGGTGTGCAGCAGAGTTTACATGTGATCAACAGATCTGAAGTAGCAGGTAGAGGTTACAAAATCTTTGGAAAAAGATGGCAGCAGGGAACAAGTTGCTAGTTTTCCACAAGTGGTCTTGCAGGCCTCAGCTTATTTCTTAAAAATACCTGCTTTAAATTGAATTTATAGTGCTTGGTCAAAGGTAATAATGAATAGGTAGAATAGGCAGAATAGGCCATTTAGTGCCTGTTCACATTTCATATCTAAGTTATGAACAGATTTTTTCTTATGGAATTTTCTAGAAAACTCATCAACATATTATCTGAATACTTCAGATAGTATATAGTAGGGAGGTAGTGTTGTATTCCCTTACTTTACAGTTAAGAAGCTGAAAGATTGTGGTAAAAGTTCTAGGAAGTGTGGGAGCTCAATTTCAGGCAAGAGAACATTTTATTCCCTACCCCTTGCCAAATGCTGTATGTTGTTTTGAGTGACATCTATTCACAGCATTATTCCAAATGCAACAGAAGACAATGGGATATTCTGCCCCTTGTCAGGTTAGATCCCAGGTGCTCAAGACAGGCTTCCAGGAAACAAATCTATGAGAAGTTTGGCATGAGACTTATAGATGCAGGGAAAGACAAGAATCTAGTTTTTTCAGGACAGAATTAAGCTTAAAATCTGACTATGCAACATTGAGGAATTTTTCAAAAAAAATAAACAAGTCCATCAGCAGTAGCATATTTCACCATGCAGTCACAATTCATTCCCACAAAACTCCAACTTGAATATGTAATATCGTTAAAAACAAAAAGGTCAGCATCAGTTAGCAAAACTGAGCTCCATTGCTCCAAAACCATTAAGTGCTAGTCTGAGAGCCTGCAGTTTAAGACTCCAGGCCTAATTACTGCTACATTTGAACGGTCTTGTTTCCATGTTATGAATATCACCGAGATTTAATTTCCATATGAATTCAACTAAAGCCCTTTTAATTCAGTTCTAAGAGACCTGTTCTGTAAATCTGTATGGTTGCTATATCCGTGAATGTAGATGTCTAATAAAGCAAGCTGTGGTTATATAGAAGGCATTTTTAGCATAGTTAAAAACTAATTTATAACAAATCTATATCTTAGTTCACTTGTCCACTTTCTGAAATGAAAGCTATCCAAGAAGTACAGTATAGTCCCTTCTCTGAACCAGCACACCTAGGAAGGATAATGAATGGACTAGATCACTTATGAGTGCAGTCAGGCTGCTGCGGAGGTGAACTTCAAGGGAGAGGGAGAAAAAGGAATCAAATCAAAGCCTACTGCACAAAACTAAAGTAAATTTTCCCAAATATATTAAGAATTTAGGATTCTTCTGACTACGATAAATTTTAAGTTCTACATCTGTGTTGTTTTTATGATTTTGCTTAAATAAAAACCTGCAGCATCAGATTTTAAAAAATAAATTCCGAGTAATAATCATGCATCACTGGCTCTAATCATCAGCACTTACGGGAGCAAACTTATTTGTGCACCATAAAAGCAAGTTTACTAAATAAACATAACCATACTTGTTTTTGCTGTGCTGTCATTGCTGACTGGTTTGGATATGAATCCTACCAAAGATGCAGACTTCACAGCGTTGCCATAGCTCAGCGCTAAGTTTTCAGAGGCTTTCTTGGCCAGCGACAAGATAGGAGCAGACCACCTCGCTTCTTCCGTTTTCTCTTTTTCCTCGTTTTTCAACTCAGTCGTATTAGGAATCTGGTTTTTGTCAATAATCTCAAAGTCTTCTTTTATTTCCGCGGCAGATGCGGTGCAACTCTCCCCTTCAGCCATCTTTGACGTATCATATGACACTAGTCATGAGCAATCGAGCTGGCAGCCCCACGCCCTGCCTGCCTGCCTGCCTGCCTGCCTGCCTGCAGTTGGAAGGAAGGTACCGAAGAGCCAGGTGAACGATTTCAAAGCAGCTGCATGCATAAGCAGGACTATAAGACAAGCCTTTCCAGAAATAAGCAGTTTTCTTGATGTTCTCAGTTAAAGACTTGGGGGACATGAGAGCGGGGGGTGGAAGATGAAGAAAGAGTTTACTTTTAAACAAGTTATGAAAGTAACAACAATACACTTTACAGGGTTTTATTGCTAACTGTGTTCCCAAACATAATTTTCAATTAGAAAATTTACTGTGTCTTTTGAAAACCCAGATTTTTGCTGTTAAGTTGTGACAACTTAAAGAGATCTTTATTACTCCGCCTATAATTCAAGTCATCGTAACTTGATTAAAATGGTGGATTGGTATGACAGGTTCACTGTTGTGAAAAGTGCTTGCTTGCATCACTGACATTACAAAATAACTGTAGTCAGTAGGGCTACTTCGATAATATATTTGGGCTGTGTTTTGTAGAAAAGATTTCTCATGAAGAGGAACTGAAATTACCCTAGTATGAAAATTTGACCTTACTGGGTGTCTCAGATATTCATGTAGCCTACTAATGTATGGCTTATTATCCATTTTTCCATCCAGCAACTGTATGTGCTTGAGATACATCACTCATTTAGTCATGAGATAGTAGATGCTGCATATTAGCTTTTTTGCTCATAGAGGAAATTTTTTTTTTCTTAAGAAATGTGAGAAGGAAGAGAGAATACAAGAGCTGAAGATCAATTTCGGTACTCTTGCAGCAAAATAAATCTTCAAGTCTAATTTGTTCTCCTACTATAAGCTACTTTAAGATTGATTCTGTCTCTTGGCTTCTCGAATACTGAAAATTTAACAACTTTTCTTCCACAAAGCACAGGGAAGCTCTTCTATTTTTGTTGAGAATTCAGAGATCAGCAGCCTCTTATTCACTCACCCATGATTCATATAAGCTAAGTACAGGCTTTAAGCTACTTTTCCTAAATGGTTATAAAGATAAGTTTTACTCCAGCTTGTGGACTCCAGCGGTATTTGGCTGTGTTTGTAAGGAAGTAGTCTCTAATAGCTTTGTAGGTTGCTATCTTGCAGCTGACTATATGAATATACCTCTGTTTGACTTGAGTAAGACCTGACACTGGTTTTCTGCCTTTTACTATCCACCACAGGCAGGGCAATATTGGCTAGAGAAGCAAAGCAGAATTCTAAGCATTGAAATAACTTTTCTTTTTCAATACATCTGAAGAATAGGGCATAAAAGTTTTGCGACTGTGAAAATAAGAGCAAACCAAGACTCCTATTTATCTTTCAGTATGTTGCTCCTGTAAGGTAACGATGCATCAGACTCCCTGGTACAGCCTTGCAATTAGCTACTTTGTAAAAATAGTAAGTGAAACTACTACATAGCCTGTGATCAGCTTTTCTTATGTTACTATTAAAAAAACATTTGATCATTTTATTTCAGGAGTCTGCTGACATAAAATAGGAAACTTTATACTGTGCATAAGAAATTTGCTAAATTTTTTTTGCTACACAGCCATATAATTTAATTGTGCTTCACTTATTACTATTGGGTCAAAATGATTTAAATGTTATGAAGTCAGTCACTGAATGCATTAAATGCCCTCTTTCCTCACACTTTTTTTATTTTAAAGCAAGCAAGAAGTTTTGTAACATTGTAAGTGAGCCCTAAGTTAAAGAAAGAGGTTTGTTTTGTTTTGTTTACACAGTACAGTTTCCTAAGGAGTCATTTGGGGCAGCCGAGGAGGATGTATTTTATACAGGATACAGCTTTAAGCACATTAAAAAGAAAAAAAAGTGGTGTTACTTTGATTTCAATTCCCAGATTTATCAAGGAGGGGCACTATGCCTGAATAGAACTATTCACTTTTAGCTCTGAAAATGGGCTCATTTTTATTTCTGTCTTCTGCAGATGATGGTATTTCACCACTGTAGTCTCTTTACAGACCACTAGTCCAGCTCTTGCTACTCACGTGAAGATGAACAGAGTTTTCTCTTGAAAAGCCCATTACGTGGCTTGTCTAGGTCTGCCAGAGTACATAAATGTCAATTCTGTGTAATCAAAAAAATAGAATTTTTGAGACTTAAAATTGTTAGGGCTCACTGAAAAGTTAATCAGGAAACTAAGTGACCCACTTACTAGTTTTTGCTTTTCCTAACCATAGAAATCAACAAGGTGCTTCTAAAAAAAAAGTATCATTATGAAGCTGTCTGAGCTAAGTGAAATTCAGTTCCTTTTTCATGCAGACCTTGCATGGCCTTATTGGGTTTTACTGTCCCCCTCCTCCATCTTCTTGAGAAGGAAAAAAAATCACATTTGAAATATTTAAATAATGGTGAATTTAAAGTATAGAAATAGATTATTCCTGAAGGACTCCTATTTTAATCAGGAAACTTTACGTTTAAGACAAAAGTGTCACTAGTCAAAATAGAAGATAGTTATTTTTAGACTAAGAGAAGCTATATTATTTGCATTCAGTGATGTTGAAAGGAATATTAATTTTCATGCAATGATACTCAGCAAGACAGTTTCTTTGGTTAATTCCTCTCTATCTCAGATTTATTGGGTTTTGGGGTAATGGTTTAAGAAACTTTTCTTGCCATTTAACATTTCAAGTGAATCATACACTTAAAATACTTTAAATCAGCAAAAATGCTTCTGTATGCTAAAGGTGATTAGCTGTCAGTTATACCGTGTATTCCTATAACATCTTCTGTCAGCAAAACACAGATTGCTTTACAAATGAGCTAGTCAAGTTTTTGACCTTTAAAAGGCTAATAGTAATAAATACCAACTGTAGCTGTAGTTGGAATAACGTAAAAAAAACCCCTAATGTGTTGTGTGTTTAACAGCATATTGTAGAAAATTCACAGAGCAATACAAGTCACAGTATTTAGCAAGAAGAATTCAGTGGTTGCTGAGTAGAGCTGGATCCACCAACTTCTGAGCCACCACTTTGTGCTAGCATTATAGCGATAAGCTCATACATGTATGTGGTGCAACTGTCAAAAGTCATCTTCCAGTGATTACAGCAGCATCCAATACCAATAAAAGATTCCCTGCTTGTGTTGTACTATTCCCTCCCTTCCCATTCCTCAAACCACTAAATCATTCTTCCCTTTGCGCACTGGGGTAAGTGAATGCCAGTTCAAAAACAGTATTAGAAAATGATAACATTTCCTTTAGGAAGACCTCCAAAAAAAAGCAATAAGCAGGAGGAGCTGGAAGCCATTGCGCTGGAAAACTATGATGTGGTCGCCATCACGGAAACGTGGTGGGATGACTCAAATAACTGGAGTGCTGCAATGGATGGCTACAAGCTCTTTAGAAGGGACAGGCTAGGAAGGAGCGGGGGAGGGGTAGCCCTGTATGTCAGGGAGTGTTTTGACTGTCTGGAGCTTAACGACAGTAATGATAAGGTTGAGTGCTTATGGGTAAAGATCAGAGGGAAGGCTAACAAGGCAGATATCCTGGTGGGAGTCTGTTACAGACCACCCAACCAGGACGAGACAACAGACGAAGTATTCTACAAGC